GGAGGAAGTGTTACCCACTATTTTTGTTCATTTATTTCTCCACCCAATCACCCATTTACCCGAAAATGCATTCTTTCATTCATTCAATTCGTAAGACGTAAAGGAATATAGAGATATTTTGTACAGATATTTGTATTCATTCAACAAATATTTACTGTGAACCAACTATAAAGACCAGCAAAGTGTCTGCTCTAATTACTTGGTATTACCCACTGCCCTTCCAGGCTCTTAGCGACCCCATAGGGTTTCCAAGGCTATAAATCTCTACAGAAGCAGACTGCCACATCTTTCTCCCATGTAGCTGCTGGTGGTTTTGAACCACTGACCTTTCTGTTAGCAATCGATCATTTTAACCACTGTGCCAGCAATTACTTTGTATTGGGGGAGACTAACTATAAAATAGTAAAACCAGAAACCCCGTTGCTATGGACTCAATTCTGACCTCTGGTGACCCCATGTGTGTCAGAGTAGAACTGTGCTCCACATGGTTTTCAATGGCTGATTTTTCAGAAGTAGATCGTCAGGACTTTCTACCAAGGCTCTTCTGGGTGGACTCGAACTTTCAACCTTTTGGTTAGCAGCTGAGTGTGTTTACCCAGGGACTTCATAAATGAGTAAGCTAGTTCATAAGTAAATAAAAATTTCACTTAATGACCAGCACGATGAAGAAAAAATGGGGTGCCGTGATTGTGATTAGAAACCCTGGTGGCTTGGTGGTTAAGAGCAACGGCTGCTAACCGAAACATTGGCAGTTCGAATCCACGAGCTCCTTGGAAACTCTATGGGGCAGTTCTACTCTGTCCTATAGGGTCGCTGTGAGTTAGAATGGACTCAATGGCAATGTTTTTTTTCGGGAGATTGTGATTGGGGGAGCTAAATGTGCTGGGACGGTTAAGGAAGGTCTCTCCTTTGGATATGGACTTGAAGGATGGGAAAAGGTAGAGAGAAAGTGCCTCAGGCACAGGTGTTGTGGAGAAAAGACTCTCTAACTGTTAAAGGCAAAGAGATTTATTGAAGCCAACGTATCGTTCGAATGGGGATCCTGAAAACCTCAGAATCGGAAACTCACGGAATCCAAGGGAGGGGGGCACATGGTTATAGTGCCATAGAAGGAACTACAAAGCACAAGATTCTGATTGGTTTACAGCACGTCATGGATTGAATTGTGCCCCCCAATGATATCTGTCAATTTGGCTAAATCATGATTCCCAGTATTGTATGATTGTCTGCTATTTTGTCATCTGATGTGATTTCCCTATGTGTTGTAAATCCTGTCACTAAGATGTTAATAAGATGGATTAGCGGCAGTTATATTGTGAGATCTACAAGATTAGACAGTGTTTTAAGCCAATCTCTTTTGAGATATAAAAGAGAGAAGCAAGCAGAGACATGGGGACCTCATACCACCAAAAAAGCAGAACCGGGAGCAGAGCATGTCCATTGGACCCGAGTGTGCTGAGAAGCTCTAGGCCGGAGGAAGACTGATGACAAGGGCCCTCCTCCAGAGCTGACAGAGAGAAAAAGCCTTCCCTTAGACCTGATGCCCTGAATTTGGACTTGTAGCCTACTAGACTGTGAGAGAATACACTTCTCTTTGTTAAAGCCATCCACTTGTGGTATTTCTGTTATAGCAGCACTAGATGACCAAGATACAGCGACTGAGATCAGTCAAAGGCAGGACAAAAGGAAGCATGATTTTTTTTTTTTTTTAATATTTTATTGTACTTCAGGTGAAGGCTTACAGAACAGATAGTTTCTCATGTAACAGTAACACACATGCTGTTTTATGACATTGGTTAACAACCCCACAACATTTTAACCCTCTAAATTCTCAACTTTTTTTTTTTTCTTTTGTGAAAATACACATAGCCAAAGACACGCCATTTCAAAAATTTTTTTTTTACATACACATTTCAGTGACATTGACTACGTTCTTCTAATTGTGCTGTTATTCTCACTTACGATGAAGGCTTACAGGACAAAATAGTCTCCCATTTAACAGTTACTACAAATGTTGCCCTATGACAATGGTTAACAATCTCACAACACATCAACAATATCGTTACTCTACTTTGTGTTCCCTATCATCAGCTTCCTACTCCCCTTCTGCCTTCTGGGCCTTGTCACTGGACTCCTGTACCTCGTTACTCTCATGGTTTTACTGGGCTGTCCACTCGCAGGCTGATCAGTGAACCTTGAAGGTAACTTTACCACTGAGCTAAAAGGGTGTCTGGGGGCCATACTCTCGGGGTTTCTCCAGTCTCCTTTAGGCCAGTAAATCTGGTCTTTTTTTTTTTTTTTTTTGTGAGTTAGAATTATGCTCTACATCCTTCTCCAGCTCTGTCCAGAACCCTCTGTTGTGATCCTGGTCAGAGCAGTCAGCGGTGGTAGTCGGGCACCATCCATCTAGCTGTACTGGACTCGGTCCGGTGAAGGTCTTGGTAGCTGTGGAGGAAGCATGATTTTTAACATTATTGGTTGCGTTAATACAGCTGGAATACATTGATTGGCTAAATGACATAGTTAGAAGATAATGTGGTCTCAGATGGGGTCTCGTGACTGTCACAAAACAATGGCATGACCATACTGTCAGGAACAGGTTGTTAAACATTACCTTGCCTGGAGCATAAGATCTCCACCAGAGATCCAACAGAAAAGAGTTTTGATAAGGTTTGGTTACAGACACTAGGAAACACAGTACCCACATTCTTAGCCTGACCACAAACAATATCATTTCCTTAATGATAGGGTTGGTTCCTAAGCACCAGAGTCGAATTCTTTGTGAAAGGTTACATTGAGTCTTAGCGTTAGCTCAGCCATTTTATTTAAGGTTAGATGGCTCTTTTGATTTTATATCTCATATTACAGGGAAAAGGGGGAACAAAGAATGAGTTAGGATTAAGCTTGGTGTGCAAGATACAGGTCCCTGGATGGCATGAACGGTCTCAGCTCAGCTACTAATCAAAAGGTTGGTGGTTTGAACTCATCCAGCGGCCTGGCGATTTGCTTCCATAAAGAGTACAGCCAGGAGAACTCTATGGAGCAGTTCTAGCAACAGGTTTGGTTTTTTTTTTTTTGTTTTATTTTGGCTCAAGAGATAGGAAAAAAAAAAAAAGCTGTGGCAGGAGTTGAATGAGTGAGAGGGTGAGGGTCTTTGTTATCCAGTGCTGATAGAACGGAAATACCACAAGTGAGTGACTTTAAGGAACAGAGGTTTATTTTCTCACAGTTTAGGGACTACAAGTGCAAATTCAGGGTGTCGGCTTTAGAGGATGTCTTTGTCTGATGGCTTTGGGGGAATGTCCTTGTCTCTCTTCAGCTTCTGCTCCTCCGTTCCTTGGTGATCTTCATGTAGCCTGGCGTCTATCTGCCCCTATCTCCGCTCGCCTGTTGCTTGTTTACTAATCTGTTCTCTGACATCTCCAAAGAGATTAAGAAACAACCTACACTAATAAAAAACCCGTTGCCATCGAATCGGTTCCGACTCATAGTGACCCTATAGGACAAAGTAGAGCTGCCCCATAGGGTTTCCAAGGAGCTGCTAGTGAATTCGAGCTGCCGACCTTTTGGTGAGCAGCGGAGCTCTTAACCACTGCGCCACCAGGGCTCCTCTACCCTAACACTGCCTCATTAACATAACAAAGAAAATCCATTCCCAAATGGGATTATAACCACAGGTATAGGGATTGGCATCTAAAACACATATTTTTGGGGGACACAATTCGATTCATTACAGTGGGTGGTGGGAAATTCTCTACAATGACTGCCAACTGACCACCACCAATGGTTTAAAGTTACCAGAGCAGTCTCTCAATTCGCTTCTAGCCTATTTAAATCGCATGCGCGATTAATACCCTTGATTACTTTCATTTCTTTTGCAGGAATAAAAGAGGTAGGGTGTTTTTTTTTGTTTTTTGTTTTTTTTGCCATTTAATTCTAGTAATTTTTACTTTGCCCCGGAGTGCCTAGAGTTCTCCTCTGAAACATACGAGGTTGTCACGAATTGGAATGGATTAGACAGCAATTTTCTTTTAGAAGCTGGGTAGGATTCTGGCAATACTGATAACATAGGAAAACACGAGGATCTTACGTGACGGAGCAGACTTGTAAAACTACCTAAATACACAATTGTAAGTTAGAAAGGACCAGACTCACTACCGTCGAGTTGCTCCAGACTCATAGCGACCCCATAAGGCAGAGTAGAACTGCTCCATAGTGTTTTCTAGGCTGTAATCTTTACAGAAGCAGATTGCCACATCTTTCTCCCAAAGAGCGGCTGGTGGGTTTGAACTGCCTACCTTTCGGTTAGCAGCCGAGCGCTTAGTCACTGTGCCACCAGGGCTCCTTAGCTAGAAAGGAGAAACACGCCAATTAATACTGAGCTAAGCTTTTAAAGAACTATCTGTATGGGATCAAATTGACAACATCAACTCGAAAGAGTAGAAAGGAACCTTCAGGAGCAGTGATTTCACGCTAATGGTGGAGGAACAATTTTGAAAAGGAGAGTAAGAATGATTGCATAACTTGAAGAATGTAATCAACATCACTGAATTGCACATGTAGAAATTATTGAATTGGTGTATGTTCTGCTGTGTATACTCCCAACAACAACAAAAATAAAATAAATTATTTAAAAAAAAAAAGAGCAAGAAAATACTAGAGCGAGAAGCGCAGGTGAAGAAGTACCACCAAAAAGAGCCTCACACACGGGCTCAGAGGCGCCAGGCCCACGTGTTGTTTCCACAGACGCGCCCAGCGGCTCTGGGGGTGGAGCCCGAGGCTCCGCCCCTCCCACTTCTACGATCCAATGAGGAGCCGGGAGAATCCTGGCGACAGCACGACGTGCGTCCGCGCGGGGCCTGCCGCCAGGAGGTGTGGGCGGAGCTCGGGTGTACGTCAGTGTCCCGCCTTCCGCGCGCACGCGCCCTCCCAGTGTGCCCTGCGCGCGGCGGGCAGCGGGCGCCTCAGTGTGGGAACTGCGGCGACGACTGAGAAACTGAGGCAGTCGCGGCGGCGTTGGAAGCAGTTCACCCCGGACGAAGTGGAGCGAGGGAGCCGCCGGCGCACACCCACCCACCATGAAGCCCCCCGCAGGTACTGGCCGCCCCTCGGCAGCGCGGCTCCCACTCTCTGTCCCCGGGCGACCCCTAGACCCTCGAGCCTCCCGGGGTCGCAGCTTGGGCCTCAGACCGAGCCCAGTGACCCTAGGGTGACCCTGGCCAGGTCAGGGCACGAGCCCGGGGCCCCCGCCCCCTAGTTTGCGGAATGAATGAGCCAGTTTTCCCAGCGCTTCATTCATTCCGCAAACTCGATGTCAAGGACTGGCCAGGCCTGGGGTGGACTCGGGGGTCACCGTCCTCGCAGACTTCTAGATCGGAGGCAGACGGTAAACACGTTACCGAGCAGGGGAGGATTTCAGATAGCGGGAGCAAGTAAAAAACAATGGGGCAACCTCATGGAGACTGGAGGGCAGGTGGTTGTCCCGGAGGGCTTCCTGGTGGAGGTGACGTTTGAACCTAGAGTTGAATGGGGAAAAGGCGCTGTCCTGCCCGGATCTGGGGGAGGGCAGAGGCAAAGGTCTGGAGGCGGGAACGCGAGTGACCTGTTTGGAGAACAAGAAGCCGGTTTGGCTAGAAGTCAGTAAGTTGGCAGGGCCTTTTATTTTAAGAACATAGGCGCGCAGTGGGATGGCTTTTATTAGGGGGGTGACGTGACGTGATTTATGTTGGAAAATCACCCAGGTTGTTGTGTAGTGCCTTCTTGTGCCCTTTTGGAAGCAGATCTCCAGGCCTTTCTTCTGAGGCATCTCTGGGTGGGTTCCAATCGCCAACACTTCAACTAGTAGTTGAGCACTTAACCGTTTGCTCCACCCGGGGACTCCTTCCTTACTGACTGTTGTAGGGTACTGTGGAGTCAATTCTGACTTATGGCGACCCCTGGTGATAGAGTGGAACTGCCCCATAGGGTTTCCTAGGGCGTCATCTTTATGGGAGCAGATCACTAGGTGATCTTTTTCCTGAGGAGCTGTTGGGTGGGTTCGAAGCGCTGACCTTTGGTCTAGTTGAGCACTTAACCATTTGCACCACCGAGGGACTCCTGCATGCTTGCTAGTACCCTTGAATTTTTTCTTGCCCTCCTGCACCCTGGCCCCACTCTCCAGATCTTTCTCCAACAGACTGCTATGAGGATAATAATAATAATTATGGTTATTTAGGAAGGCAGGAATGCTGTCCACCTCGTTTGCTGCTGGGTGTTCAGCTCAGTCCCGTGCATAGATGGCAGTCCGTGAATATTTGCAGGATGAATGCATGTGCTCAGTTTCCTCTAATCCCATCTCCTCTGGGAGCTTCTTACCAGTTCCAGCTCACAGGGATCTCCATCTTTCCTGAGCTCCTGAGGGTTTCATTACTACAACGTTTAATATAGACCCACAGTCCCTTGTGTGCAGTTTTGAAACCCCAAATACTCTGCACACAGAAGGATATTGCCTAACTTTGGAGCATTTGGCCAGAAAACCTCACCTGTATTGGCTTGTTATTGTTGTTGGGTGCCCGTCCAGTCGATTCTGACTCATGGCAACCTCATGTGACAGAGTAGAACTGCCCCATAGGGTTTCCTAGGCTGTGACCTTTATGGGAGCAGATTGCCAGTACTTTCTCTTGAGGGACGGCTGGGTGGACTCAAATCACCGACCTTTCAGTTAGCAGCCAAGCCCTTTTTTTTACACTTAAAAGTAACTCTTTTTTTTTTTTTTTGACTGCTTTAGGTGAAAGTTCACAGAGCACATTGGTTTCCCATTGGATAGTTTGTACATAAAGTGTTTGGTGACCTTAGATTCATTGCCCACAATGTGTCAAGTGTCACAATTCACCCCATTTCCGCCTTGGTTTCCCCATTTTCTTTTGTCCTGATTTTCTACCCCTTCCTGCTTTCTCATCTTCACTTTTGGGCAGGTAATGCCCTTTTGATCTTGTGTAATTGATTGTTCTAACAAGTACATTCCTCTCGGATGTTATTAACTCATTGTTCACTTTCTAAAATTTTACTCTTTAAAATCTTCTAATACTTTTTTTTTTGTCTGTAATTTTGTGGGCTTTATTTTTAACAAATATTTACACAAACAATAAGTGGGGAAACCATCTAGGGTCCAAGTGAGGTTAGTGTTTATGAAGTGATTTCTAGGGAGTGTTCATAGCCGTTGTTATTTTCATGACTGCCTGTATTCTGAGGGTAGTATAATTAGCCTATCACGCAGGATTCCAACCTTGTTTGAATGGGGTTGTTGCAATAGTCTAATACATTTGCTGTGGAAGCACAGTATTGGGGAACTGTTTGCAGTTAGGGTTTTTACTTTCATTTAGCTTAGATTGTGATTCAACATAATTTGTGGAATTTGTATACGGGTAGATAATTTTATAAAAATTTATCAAAAGGAGATGAAAAATTGATTATTTGGTTAAAAGTCTCTGAGGAATGGTTTGACTTTAATATCTTCTTGGTTTCTTTTTATATAGTAAAAAAAAAATTCGATTCTGTGAGCTTATCTCATTTCTTTCTTTTGAAATTTCTTAACTTCTGTAACTGGTTCTTTAATAGTCATCAGTTACTGGTGATCTCTCTTCGTCATTCACAAAATATAGCTTGAGACCTTTGCTCAGAAAGGAAGACTGAGGTGTTAACAATCTTGCTGTTTCCAGGTTGAGTTCCCTACTCCCGTGAGTTTTCAGTGATTGTCGCTGCAGCAATCACTGTACGTCTTTGCTGTTAATTTTAGTTGTGTTACTCGTGTTTTAAACCCTGTCATTTTTTCCCCATAAGACTAGTGGTATTAAAGTTTTGGTGTTTGGAAGTTTCAGTGTTTCTGGCCTTGGTCTAAGTGTGGGCCTCCACGGTCTTTGGTTAAACAATTATGGCCTGAAATAATAACAGCTGTGTCTTGAAAAACCCTTTGCCGTTGAGTCGATTCTAACTCAAGTTGATTCTAACTCATGGCGACCCCATGTGTGTCAAAGTAGATCTGTGTTCCACGGGGTTTTCAATAGCTGCGTTTTTAGAGTCCCTTCATGGTGCAAACAGTTCATGCGCTCGGCTGCTAACTGAGGTTGGAGATTTGAGTCTACCCAGAGGCACCTTGGGAGAAAGGCCTGGCAATCTGCTTCCAAAGAACCAGCCGTGGAAAACCGCATGGAGCACAGTTCTGCTCTGACACACACGTGAGGTCCCCCTGAGCTGGAGTCGACTCGGCAGTAACTAGCCACTGGATACTGGGAACCTTGTGTCATTCAGGGCGCCAGGCATTCTTCCCTTGTTGGATTCAGACGGGTCTGTGCTCTGTGATCTGAGCCACTCCCATTTTACAGATGGGAGTCCTCTTGCTGTGATTCCACAGGTAGCAAGTGGCAGAGGTGGGGCCCAAACCCGGGCAGTCAGACTTCAGCTGCTACACTCTTAGCTGGCCACTGCCCCCTCCCACTCCCAGGCCTCTGCCGTGCACACCAGGGCCTGGCCGACTGCGGCCCACCTGGTTTGCGTAGCCCATGAGCTAAACATGCTTTTGAGATAACGCGAGGACAGATGTGGCCCGCAAAGCCCAAAACATGTGGCCCCTTACTGAACAGGTGTGCGGCCCCTGTTCTATACCCACAGGCTCTCCCAGGTTCTGCCAGATGGTTTTGTTACTTCTCTGGCTCAGCCACACTGGCTTTCCTCAGAAGTCACGCTTCTGGGCCTTCCCAGAGGTTATTCCCTTGGCCTTGACCCCCACCCAGCCAGTCACCCTTTAACCATCCCTTCCTCAGGGGCCCTTGGGGCGAGGTCCCTAATTATACTCCCACAGTACCTGGACATCTTGACCGCCACCCGCTCCTGAATTCCATGTGGAGCTGGTGAGTGGGGGGCTGGTGTGTTCTCTCGGCCGGGCGTGGCCGGGCATGGGATAGGGAAGGAGCCTCCCTCTTCCTCTTCCTCTCTGGCCCGTGAGAGTTGAGCTGTGCAACACTAGCTCTGGAGCCCCCTGTTCTGTAAACGCCTGTGGGACCTGGGTTTGGTGTCTGGAGGGCAGGATTTTTTAACAGCTATGTGAACGTTTATGGCTAGATTCTTTTCTGGGTTGGAGCCACCCTGAGCACTGTAGGGTGTTGAGCAGCATTCCCGACCTCCACCCACTCAATGCCAGTAGCACCCCCCAGATGTGACACCCATGGATATATCTCCCAGTGTCCTCTGAGGGCAGAATCACCCCTGGTGAGGACCCCTGGGTTGGGGGATTCCACTGACCTCCAAGAGACTCTGCATCCCATAATCAGCTGACCTACTGATGTCCCAGGACGCTGCCCACGTTTGAATCCACACACTGAGTGGGGAGGAGAGAGGAGGGAAATCACAGGAGCTGGAGGGCCCCCCTGGTTTACACCAGCTGAACTATCAGGAATTTATTCTGGTGTGTGGTGTGAGCAGGGACCCAGTGCCAGTGTCTTTCAGATAAATAGCGTGGGGTCTCTCCCCTCTCGGCACTGCTGACATGGGGGCTGCATTCTTCTCTGGGCTGGGGCTGTCCTGTGCACTGTAGGGTCCTGAGCAGCATCCCTGGCCTCCACCCACTCGATGCAGCAGCACCCCCCCACAGTCGTGACACCCACACATGTCCCTAGACATTGCTGAGTCACCTGGGGCAGAGTTACCACAGGTGAGACACACAGCTCTAGAGGATGGAACTGTCTGTGTGCACCCACAGAGCGGCCTTACTGATCTGGGCGGGGAAGTGGGCGATACTCCCCCACCCCCTAGTTCCTTTGGCCCTGATTCTGGCCTTGGAACAGACACAATGGGGGCTGTTCTTTGTTTCCTCCTGTCTAGCCTGTGCAGGCGAGGTCCTGGACGTGGCGTCTCCGTGCCCCATGGTGAACTACCTGCGCTGGGACCTGAGCGCCCAGCAGATCGAGGAGCTGACCAGGGAGCTCATGGAGAAGACCAAGCGCGTGTACGACCAGGTGGGAGCCCAGGAGTTTGAAGACGTGTCGTACGAGAGCACGCTCAAGGCCCTGGCTGATGTGGAGGTGTCTTACACGGGTAAGTCCAGGTCGGGCGCCGTGTGTGGCTCGATGGTGCCAGGGGAGGTGGTGTGACCCGGTGGAAGTGCTCAGCTGGAGGTGTGGGGGGCGGGTTCAGACCCCACTTCTCATTGCTTCCAGCTGTTGTTGTTGTGAGCTGCTGTCAAGTCGCCCCAACTCATGGTGACCCCGGGCACCACGGAATGAGACACTTCCTGGACCTGTGCCGTCCCCACGATCTGCTGTGCATTGGACTGTGGTGGTCCAGAGGGTTTTCACAGTCACGTAGTTTCTAGCTACTTCTTGGTCTCACTCTGGGGGATCTCTCTGTGAGGTGCGGGTGATCCACCTGCTCCCCAGGTGGTTGTGATGAGCAAACGCAACGGCCCAGGTAGAGGCACCTGTCAGGTGCCGGTCACCGAGAGGCATCCAGGAAAAGCCGGTGCCCCCCGCTGCTGCCTGCGTCCCGCTCCCCTACTCGTTGCTGACGCTCGTTCCTGATCAGTTGCGACACTTGAGAGCCTTGAGCTGGGAAATCTGTCTGAACAGACACCTGCCCACATGTCAGCTCAGCTTCCTGCCTGGAACTCAGGTCCTCTCGGGCCCCTTTCCTGCCCCTGGGGGCATCTGTTTTCTCTCAACTTCTGCACTTGGCCACCTTCTGTTTGCTCTTGTCACCCCACCCTGCCGCCATTCGGTGGCCTCAGTGCCACCTGTCTGAGTGTCACGGGGCTGCCAGAGCAAGTGCTGCACACTGGGAGCTTAACATGCAGAAACGCGCTCTCCCCGGTTCCGGGGGCTGGAAGCCTGGAAGCTGTGGGCAGTGCCGCGCTCCCTCAGAAGGCTCTGGCAAGGAGCGTGCCGGTCTCTTCTGGCATCTGGGGCTTCCCCCGAGTCCTCGGCATCCCCGGCTTACAGACCATCACTCCAGTCTTCGCCTCTGTCTTCACATGGCTGTCTTCCTCTCCATGGGTCTCTGTGTCCAAGTTTCCCTCCACTTATAAGGACACCAGGAGCCCTGGTGGTGTAGTGGTTAAAGCGATTGACTGCTAACCAAAAGGTCAGCGGTTCAAAACCCCCAGTGGCTCTGTGGGAGAAAGCTGTGGCAGTTTGCTTCCATAGAGATTTGCAGCCTTGTAAACCCTGTGGGGTTACTATGAGTTGGAATCAACTTGACGGTAGTGGGTTTGGGTGTTTTTGGTTTTTACAGGGACGCCGGTCATTGGCTTAGGGCCCGCCGTCCTCCCTTACGACCTTATCTGAGCTTATTATATCCGCAGAAACCCGGCTTGCAAACCAGGTCACATTCACAGGTTCTGGGGGACATGAATTTTGGGGGGACACTGTACACCCACCAGCTGGCTCCTTCTCTTTCTAATCCTTCTCTTGATGATTTTGGGGGGACACTGTACACCCACCAGCTGGCTCCTTCTCTTTCTAATCCTTCTCGATGATTTTGAGGGGACACTGTACACCCGCCAACTGGCTCCTTCTGTTTCTGATCCTTTTCTTGATGATTTTGGGGGGACACTGTATGCCCGCCAGCTGACTCCTCTTCTAATCCTTCTCTTGATGATTTTGGGGGACACTGTACACCTGCCAGCTGACTCCTCTTTCTAATCCCTCTCTTGATGATTTTGGGGGACACTGTATACTCGCCAGCTGACTCCTCTTTCTAATCCCTCTCTTGATGATTTTGGGGGACACTGTATACCCGCCAGCTGGCTCCTTCTCTTTCTGATCCTTTTCTTCCCTTGGTTAGGAGGGAGGTGGCTGGTGAAGTCAGTGATGACAGCTGCTCCCCAGAGCCCCTGTAGGGATTGTCAGTGTACACACGGTGTCAAGGAACGCCCCCGCCCCCCGATTCTCTGGCAAAACTGTTTGGGGAACCATCCTGATTCTTTGGATTCAAGCTGAGGGGTCCTTGTGTGTCCCTGAGGCTTCGCGTGGTGGCGTGCCGACCCCGGGCTGCACCGTGCAGGCTGCCGGCTTTGCTGGCATGAGCGATGTGCAGCAGGCTAGGGGTGAGGCCACAGCTTGGGAAGCCGGGTCCTGGCTGTGCCTCCCGTGCACGCTGCGGCTCAGGCGGGGTTTAGCCCGGCGGGGTGCCTTTCCTTCCCCCTCATCTCGGAGTGTCCTGAGGACCGAGTGGCAGTAATTCCCAGCATTGCCCAGCAGACAAGGGCCAGGCGTTACTTGGTCTCCCCCCGCCTGACCTTGTCTCGTGCCCTTTTCTTCTCCATCTCGTTGTCAGCTGATGTCGAGGCAGCTCCGACTCACGCAACCCCACGCACGACAGAAGGACGCTCTTCCGGTCCCACGCCATCTTCCAGATGGCAGGCCGTGCTTGGTCCATTGTTGTCTTTTATCCTAGGGGCCCATCTTCCAGCACTGTATCGGATCCGTAGGGTTTTCATTGGCTGGTTTTTGGAAGTAGATTGCCAGGCCTTTCTTCCTAGTCTGTCTTAGCCTTGAGGCTCCATTTTGGAAGTAGACTGCCCAGACTTTCTCCCTAGTCTGTCTTAGTCTGGAGGCTCCCCTGAAATCTGTTCACCATGGGTGACCCTATTGGTGTTTGAAATACTGGTGGCAAAGCTTCCAACATCAGAGCAACATGCAAGTCACCACAGAATGACACAGTGACAGATGGGTGGTGGCTCTACTTAGTAGCCAGAGTAATTTTAAAGATAAAGTTGATCATGTCAGTCCCCTCGTATGACCCTTCAGTCCCTTTCCACAGCCCTTGGGATGAAGACAGTGTCCCCAACATGGTCTACCATGCCCTGCACCGCCTGCCTTCCCTCGGCACTTCCCGGGGCTGTCTGCCAGCCACGCTGTCTCCCTGCAGTTCCTCGGGCTTGGCGCGCTCCCCACCCTCAGTGACAGCTGGCAGAGGGGACGACTCGCCTCACCGTCCTGACAGGGTGCTCCATTTTCAGCTCCACACACTGAGACTCGGGGATGCTGTCATTGGCCCCAAATCACAGAAGTGACTGAACCGCAAACTGAATTCCAGTCTCTTCCTTGGAAAGCTTCCAAACCAACCCTGTTGCCGAGTTGGTTCCGACTAATAGCGAGCCAATAGGACAGAGTAGAAGTGCCACACAGGGTTTCCAAGGCTGGCATCTTTACGGAAGCAGACTGCCACATCTTTCTCAGGAGCCTCTGGTGGGTTCAAACCACTGACCTTTTGGTTAGCAGCCAAGCGCTTAACCACCGTGCCACCAGGGCTCCTGTGGGGCTTCTAGGAGAATGAAATAAGTTAATATTTATAAAATGCTTAATGAAAGGCCTGGCACGTACTCAGTGTTAAATACTGTGTGCTGTTGAGTCAGTTCCGACTCACAGCAGCCCTAAAGGACAGAGTAGAACTGCCCCGTAGGGTTTCCAAGGCTGTAATCTTTATGGAAGCAGACTGCCACATCTTTCTCCCGCAGGGCCGCTGGTGGGTTCAAACCTCCAACCTTTCAGTTAGCGGCCAAGCACTTAACCACTGCGCCACCAGGGCTACCCTGTTTATTTTTCCTTGTGATAGCAGCTTTCTTGAGATGTAACTCCCATATCGTACACTTCACCCGTTTATACAATTCAGTGGTTAATATGTCCACAGGGGTGTGCAGCCATCACCGCAGTCAATCTTAGAACATTTCCGTCGCTCCAAAAAGAAACCCTGCGCCCGTTAGCAGTCGGTGCCCGTTCTCCCTCCCCAGCCCCAGCCGACCACTAACCTGCTTTCCGGCTTTCCTGCTTTTTCCCGCTTTTTTCTTTCGTGTGTGCTTTTTTTTCTGAACGTTTCACGTCAGCAGAATCATACGGCACGTGGTCCTTTGTGTCTGGCTTCTGTCACTGAGGGTGACGTTTTCAGGCTTCATCTGTGGCCGTGTATCCGCTTCCGTCCTCTGGCGGAGCAGTAGCCCGCCGTGTGGATGGGCCACGTTGTGTCTGTTCGTCGCCTGGGCACGGGCGCCGGGTTGTTGTTCCCACCATTTGGCCGTCGTGAAGGCCGTCGCAGTGTACTCTGGGGTGTATTTTCTGTGTGGACATGTTATTTCTTTCAGGTAGATACCTAAGGGTGGAATTACTAGGTTGTGTGGTAACTCTGGAGCCCTGGTGGCACAGTGGTTAAGAGCTCAGCTGCTAACTAAACGCTCAGCAGTTCGAATCCACCGGGCGCTCCTTGGAAGCCCTGTGGGGCAGTTCTGCTCTGTCCTGTGGGGTCGCTAGGAGTCAGAATCAACTCGACAGCGACGGGTCTGGTTTTGGTTCTGGTGACTGATGATCCCCTTCTGAGAGTTGAGCCACTGAAAACCCTGTGGAGCACAGTTCTGCTCTGACACGTGGGGCGCCAGGAGGTGGTCGGCTCGATGGCAGTTGTTCCGTGTTTTTCTGGTGGCTCTGCGTTAAAGCCTAGGCTTTAGAGCCACCCACGCTCCCCGTTACACAGAGAGCGGGCGGGCTCTGTCAGTTATAAAGCTGCTCCGGACCTTAAAGCACGGCCCTCCCCGGCTGTGGATCTCGTTCTAGAGTTCTGCCGGCCTCTCACTGGGGTCACACCTTTCTCTATGGTGTCCCTTCCTGCGGGAGCGTCATGGTGTCACTTGTCAAGCCTGTCCCTGTGTGTCCCTTCCTGCGGGAGCGTCATGGTTTCACTCACGCATCCATTTGGTCTGTGAGGTCTGGAGGGCATGGGCTGCAGCTCTTCACGCCTGTACCCCGCTGCCCAAGAATGTTCAGGGAGTGAATGAGCCGATTATCTGGGGTTTGGTGGGCGCCGGCCAGTCTCCATCCAGGGTCCGTTTTCACGCCTGTCTCGTCTTGCCTGTTTCAGTTCAGAGGAATATCCTTGATTTCCCCCAGCACGTCTCCCCGTCCAAAGAGATCCGGACCGCCAGCACGGAGGCGGACAGAAAGCTGTCAGAGTTTGACGTGGAGATGAGCATGCGGCAGGATGTGTACCAGAGGATTGTCTGGCTGCAGGTGAGGCTGCAGCGCAGGGCACGGCTGACGCAGGTGGGGTGCGGGAGACCCGGACCGAGAGGCCAGTCTCTAAAGAACCAGAGAATTCTGCACTCGAGATTTTAATGAGATCACGCACCTACAGCTCAGCCCCGAAAGCCTCTCCCACATCCACCACTTCATGTTATACCCCTCCTGGCTGTTACCGAGAGATGGTGTCTTAAGTTCCATGTGTGAATAGAGGCCCAGTGACACGCTCAGGGGGACAGGGCACATCTGGGGTTCCGCCTCTCGTCAGTGCTCCCTCTGCACACCCGTGATGACTGTCTTGTCCTGTGTCGCCATAGCGCGAATACCACCTGTGGGGGCTTTAGAGGACAGGCGCTCATTCTCTGTTCTGGAGGCTGGAAGGCCAGGTCAGGGTCTCGGCCATGGGGATTCTGTGTGGCCTCTCTCCCAGTGTGTGCTGTCCGCTGGCGATCCTTGGCCTTTCTCAGCTTGGAGATGGACCCTGCACGGTGTCTGTCTGCCCCCTGGGTGAGTCTCTGGGACATGGTGTCTGCCCCCTGGACGTGCGTCCATCTGCCCCCTGGGCGTGCGTCCGTCTGCCCTGTGGGTGTGTCTCTGTGACACAGTGTCTGTCTGCACCCTGGGAGTGAGTCCGTCTGCCCCCTGGACGTGCGTCCATCTGCCCCCTGGGCGTGCGTCCGTCTGCCCCCTGGGCGTGCGTCCGTCTGCCCCCTGGGTGTGTCTCTGGGACATGGTGTCTGCCTCCTGGGTGTGAGTCCGTCTACCCCCTGGACGTGCATCCATCTGCCCCCTGGGCGTGCGTCCGTCTGCCCTCTGGGTGTGTCTCTGCGACACAGTGTCTGTCTGCACCCTGGGAGTGAGTCCGTCTGCCCCCTGGACGTGCGTCCGTCTGCCCTGTGGGTGTGTCTCTGTGACACAGTGTCTGTCTGCACCCTGGGAGTGTGTCTGTGTGTCTGACGTGCTCTTTTTATGTCTCAGAAGCGATGAGGTGTAGGAGTTACCCTGCTCTGGTGTGGCTGCATTAACATAACAAAAGAAAAACCGTGTTTGTAAACAGAGTCCCAGCCACAGGGACAGGGGCCAGACTTCGACACACATTGTTGGGGACATGATTCAGTCTATGACAGTGACCTCTGCTGCTGCTAATTGGCATGAGAAGCAGAAGAGACCTAAGATGTCTCCCGCGCCTGTGATTCATCCCCGTGGGCACGGGCGCCTGCAGCTCGACATGCCTCTCCCGTTCCCTGGAAAACGCAGCCGCTTTGCTGTGGTGCAGATAGGGGCAGGCGAGGCCCGTGAAACCGTAAACACTTTCTTTTTCACGTTGAAGTTGTTGAGACAGTTGTAGCCTGGTGTGCAGGTGTAAGAAACAGCACAGAGGGGTCCCTTGTGCACTGGGCCCAGTTTCCCCCCAGTGCGAACACGTGGCCAAACTGGAGTCAGTGCCACCCCCAGGATGCTGACAGTGTCGCCGCCCGCCGAGCCCGTTCCTGCTGAGCCGCTCGCCTTTGGAGGCGCTCTGGCCGGTTCCGGGCTTCATTACTGCAGATGAAGCCGCTGAGAACGGTCGTGTAGGGTTTGGGCTGCACACAGGTTTCTCAGGACTGGGGCCCAGGAGCGCACTGCTGGGTTCTGCGGCAGCCACAGCCTTAGTGTGTGGAGAAACCGCCAAATGGCTTCCCAGGCGGCTGCACCATTTTACCTTCCCACCAGCCACGCGTGAGCGATCTCGTTTCTCCATAGCTTCCCTGCAGTTGGTGTTGTCGCTGTTTTCCACGTGAACGGTGTTTTGATTTTGTCGTTCTAGGAAAAAGTTGAGAAGGATACGCTGAGGCCGGAGGCCACGCGGTACCTGGAGCGGCTGATCAAGCTCAGCCGGAGGAATGGGCTGCACCTCCCTGAGGAGACCCAACAAGTGAGTGCTGGGCTCTCAGGCGTGGTGGGGGATCTCACGTCCCTGCACCCCTGTCTCCCCCGTGGGCCCCCTCTTAGGAAGCCCAAGCCCCTGGCCAGGTGCCATCTTTAAGCTGCCTGAGAACCCGAATTCTGGGCAAGGAGGGGTCTCCGAAACAGCCTCTCTATGCCTCCTCTCCTCCCTCGGTGCTCCAGGGCCGGGGGGCCCCGTGAGAGAGTGAGGGGCCCAAGGCCATGCATGCACCGTCCCATTCAGTCCTCACTGTTACCTCTGTAGATGGCGTCTCCCGCTTTCTGGCTGGGAACGGAGACTGAGGAGGGCAGTGGCCTGCCCAGGGTCCCGAGGTTACTAGGTGACGGTGTCTGTGCTCAGACCCCCATCTCTTTTCTTCCTGTGCTGGGCAGCCCCAGACGTTCCCGCAAGGGCGCCCTTCCGCTTCCGATCCTCTCGTGCCTCCCGAACGGCCACACGCGGCAGTTTCTGCCTTACCGAGGCGAAGGCTCCCCATCTGGTCCCGTCTGTGTGGCGTTCTGCCCCTCTTTCCTGAAGCTGGGAGCCCTGCTGGTGAATTGGTTAAGAGCTCAGGCTGCTAACCAAAAGGTCAGCAGCTCGAATCCACCAGCCACTCCTTGGAAACGCATGGGGCAGTTCTGCTCTGTCCTGTAGGGTCGCTGTGAGTCGGAATTGACTCGATGGCACAGGGTTTGGTTTTTTTCTGGCTTCCTGAGGCCTGGCAGGACTCGGCCCTGAGAAAGCCGGCCCTCAGGGAAGCTCAGCAGGCGCCAGCTGGCTCTGAATGGGGATCTGGCTTGGTGGGCCCACACGGCCGTTGAAAAGGCTGTTGAAAAGTCCTCATGTGCCCTTTGGGATGCTCAGCCCCACTGCCCGTCCTTCAGATTGGCTTCTAGCGGCTGTCCTCGTCATGCTGAGGAAGGCTGGGGGCCAGACCCGCCTCCTGAGTGAGGGGCCTCCTGAGTGAGGGGCCTCCTGAGTGAGGGGCCTCCTGAGTGAGGGGCCTCCTGAGTGAGGGGCCTCCTGAGTGAGGGGC